AAGAAAGTAAAGGGGAAGAAACCGAAGACAGCGAAGGAGAAGAAGGTGAAGAAATTAAAAAAAGAGAAGTAAAAGAGGTAATAAGAAAAATGAAAAATACAAAGGCGACAGGAGAAGATGGTATAGCAAATGAACCGTGGGTGGAAGGCACGGAAGGCTTGATAAAAGATATGACAAAATGCTTAAAAGGAAAATGGAACGGAGAAGGATATCCGGAAGAATGGAGGAAGGGAATAATAGTATCAATATATAAGAAAGGGAGGAAAGAAGAAGTAGGAAACTATAGAGGAATAACGCTGATGGATACGGGAAAATACTGAGAAAAAAGCTGGAAAGAGAACTAGAAGCTAAAGAAACGCTAAGTGATACGCAGATGGGATTTAGGAAGAAAAGAGGAACAATGGACGCGATATTTATATTAAAAACAATAATAGGAAAGGAAATAAGGGAAAAAGGAGGAAAACTGTCCGTATTCTTTGCAGACATGAAGGCCGCTATTGATAAAATAAAGAGGAAGAAAATATGGGAAACAATGAAAGAGAAAGGGATAAATAGAAAAATTAGGAAAAGAATAGAAGAAATATACAAGAAAACAGGGAGTAAGGAAGGGGAAGAATAGGAAAAAATAATAATAGGATGCAAAGAAAAGATAGCGTGGATGATGGAGATAAAATGGAAAAGAAGAAGAAATGAAGAGAAGAAAGAAAAAGAAAAGCAAGAAGACGAAGCTACAAGACCCTAAGGAGAGACGGAAACAGAAAACAGAGAAGCAAGACTCGCAGACATATCTACACACATATACATACACACACATACACCCAAAACACAAACATACGCGCAAACATAAACATACACATGCACACACACACACACAAGACACAAGTAATAGCAACTACACAAGCGAGAGGAAGTAGGTATTGGAGTATGGAGCAAAATGGAAAAGAAGAAGAATCGAAGAAGAGAAAGAAAAAGGTAAACTAGAATGCAAATCATAAGATACTAAGGAAAAATAAGTGAGGTTGAGGAAAGGAAAGGCAGAGGGAGTAATAGGAAACAAGAAAAAGGTGTCAAAGCCTTAATAAGGAGAAAGATAGATGAAATGTTTAGCAAGAAGGAGAGCAAAAGCAAAGGAAAGGCAAAGGTGAAAAGGCAAAAGAAAGTAATAAAGGAAAAGCTGAAAAGAAAACATGCAAGAAAGAGACAAAAAAAACAGAAGAGCGGAAAAGGCAGATCTTGGAGAGAGAAAGAGGAAGAGAAGATTAATCAGAAGAAAAATGAGAAGAAAAGAGGAACAGGCAGGCGCAGAAGACAGGGACACAAGAGTTGCAGACACACCTACAAAGGCACATATTTACACAACACATACACATACATACGCACGTGCGCACTCACACACACACACACACACACACACACACAAAACACATACCTAATCAACTACACAAACTGGATACGAGACACAAATAGTAATATAAGAAATGTAAACCAAATGTAACATATAAGTTGTAAATAAATAAACTAAACTAAACTAAACTATATATATTTGTTACAAAATTATCGTGAATATATTTTTATTTTTTATTACGTGTTTGGTTTTGTTTTCTTGAGAATATTTCGAAGTCCAAAATTCATCACCGTAATCTTTCTTAGTTTTAATTCTTTTTGCTAATTGTTCAATATCTTCTCCAAATAGTAAGTTTTATTTCTTAGTTTATTTCATCTGGGTTTATTCAATATATTTTGTTTTCTCTTCTTCGAAACTTTTGGGCTAATATTAAATAAAATGATGAAATTTTAATTTTTATTGCAAGTTAGATTGAACTCAAAAGATCGGCGATAATGGTAAGTCTGAGCGAATCTGCTCCTAGAAATATTCACAATATTATGAAAAATTTTTGTATCAGTCTAAAACATCAATCATACTAACCTCTGATTCTTCATTATATATTTCTGATTCTTTTTCATTATCTGACAGTATATTATCATAATTCAGTAGATCAAAGCTCTTGCCAGAATCAATTTTAGTTTTCAACATAAGCATTGATTTCTGTTGAGAAACGACAAATAATTTTCGTTTAGTCGATAAACTCTCTGGCTGGGACGTTGATGGCCCTTTTAAGATGCCTACCTTGTGAATTCCATTTCATGGGTAGCTCTCAGTATTGTCACATATATTTTCAGCAACATCAGACAGCCCTTCAACATCTGTTTTCATGACAGGAGAAGTATAGGAACGCCTTTTCGATGATTTTTCGATAGAGTCATCGTCGCCTAACCCTTCTGAGTTGATTTCTTCAGCAGGAAGAGTATACGAGCGTCTGCTATTCATAGTATTGAAGGCTGTGATGCATTCTGTGTTGTCAGATTCAGTAACAGCATCGATATTCACATCGTATGTTTTCAAGATTTGTTGAAGGTATAATTACTTTCTAAAATAATAATATTATTATTAAAAAATTGTCAATTTTTATTGTGTGATGTTATTTATAAAAATAAAAATAATAGTTCATATCTGTTGAATAACTCCTGCGTTTTCCTTCAAAGATATGCACTCCGCAGTGCAAGCATCAGTGTAGGTATTAACAGTAACGAACTTAGCTCGTAACCACTCTACGGTTTTTGGTGTCTGATGCTTGCTTATTATAACTTCTGTGGATTGGCTTGTAGTTGCTTCTTCTGAGGGTTGACTTGTACTACTAGGTCTAGCTATATTTTCCTGATGGTGACGACATTCTTCGATAGACTTTAATTGCACTTCCAGATCCATCGTGATGTTCTTGGTCATCTAACTACTGATTTTATTACTAACTTGAGTCTCGATAGCCTGTCATTGAAGATAATTCATCAACGTGAGAAAACAAAAAAATAAAATTATACAAAATTAAAAAAGTACCTTCGCATTTGGCACTTTTGTCAGTAATGGCTATCCCTTTCTTTTGGTTTACTTTCTTGTTAGCATTCTTACGTTTCGACAGTTTTACTTCTTTCAACTTTTCGAGTTCATCGAATAGGTATTCTTCCTCATCTTAAGAAAAAAGTAATTAAAATTAGGTCGTTTGTATGATAAAATAAATTAGATTATGCGGGCCGTGAATACTTCGCGCGAGACGACCGTGTCACGCACGAAAATTTTCGTCTCTCAGCAGATCTGCCTCCAACTTTTTATACAGATAACAGAATATACAGAACCGAGAGGCGGCCAGACGTAGTCAGTTTGTATGTGCGCATGCGTGTGCGAGTGCGTGTGTGTATGCGCGTGTGTGTATTGGTTCATAGCGTTTGGAGCTCAATTTCATTATAGGCCGCATAAATCGCACGGAAAATCAACCAGAAAATTCGACTCACGGACAATTCAACCTTGCGAAAGTCAAAAAGCGACACGTGACATAGTCTTTGCATGTAAAACGCTCGCGATCATCGGCAGTTAATGAAATAAAAAAAAGTTCTTAATGACATTCAAACGTAATTTTTGACTGACTTTACGCAAGAAATTAGTATATCCCTAAGATTTTCACAACTTTTCCAGTATACTTCTTCGCATTTCGCGAGTCCTTCGACCACAAATAGGTAATCGTAAAATTAAAAACTCGTGAAGTTACTGTAGTTTGAATTTCGGAACTGATTTTACGTTTTTGAAACATTACATTTGCTTCCAGTCATTGTATAGCTATATAATTAAAAAAAAATTTTTAATTTTATAATTAAAATTAATTGTATAATTAAAAAAAAAAGACAAAATTAAATCACAAAAGTGACAACCTTTACGAATTCAGATGAAATAGACCATTTAGAGCATCTGAAAATTGAAAATACATAGAACTGGTTATATAACAATAAAACTAGTACAAAAGATAAAGAAAAAATTACATACTACCATGCAAATGCTTATTAATAGCTCATATGAGAGTTCTAATGGAACCAATCGGGCTGCAAATTACATGTTTATTTACAAAAATTATTATTACTGTTATAATTATCATTATATATGAGGTGTGTGTGTACAAATATGTATTTGCAATCTTTATGAACGTTACAAATTAAGTAAAACCTTTCATTTCTAGTATATATTATTTATAGCTAAAAGCACAATACTTTTCAAAAAGTTGTAAATAGGAAGCTGTAGTACTACTGATGAACCTTTTTCATTGGAAAACTTTATATATGTAAGCTTCTTACTCTTTCGTTTGTAAAAACCCTTCTCTCGACGAATAGGAATGCTTTTCGTAAGATTTCAAAAAAATTTCTAATTTTTTTAAAAAAAGGTAAAAAGTAGAAAAAAAAAAAGTTTCAACATTTAACGGTAGGGAATTGATGGTGAACGTACTGAACTTATAGTCATAGTAGAGTTTAAACGGTAGGGTACAGTCTCGTAAAAAAGAAACGACAATTCACAAAACAAGTTTAGAAGGAAAAATTACCAGGTATATTAAACCTTATTATAATAGAGCTAAAATGTTGACTGTGTAGCTAGTATATACACTGAGAATGGTACAAGGTATACGTGGTAGTGGCTCCATTGATAGAGCTCCGGCTTGTCAACCCAGAGGACGTGGATTCGATTTCCTGACATGTCCGTTCATTTTTTTTAATTAGTTGATCAGCCGAATACGTGACAAAACGTTTTTTCTGTATTCATTGTATAATTAATTAATAAAATTGATTAGAATGTAATTAATCCGTACATAAAAAATTAATTAATTCTACTGATCCAAAACAAACAATTTAAAGGTAGCACTAGGGTTTTTGAGAAAGCTATTCTTAACTGTTTGTATTACTGCATACATTATACCGGTCAAGTCCTATGATAAGCTCCTAAACCCTAAGTTCAACTTAAATTTGTCCTAAGATATTGAGAATATTAATCCTTATTGCTTATTATTTGAAAATATATGTCTGAAATATTTTATTCAATGAAGTATTTATAACACAGAGCAAAAATACAGTTTCAGAATTTTCAAATTCTCATATAAATCTTTATAATATATGTTTTCACTTTACAGAATCGAATGCAGGAGAGCCTGAAATTATTTGATTCAATATGTAATAATAAATGGTTCACAGACACTTCAATAATCCTCTTTTTAAATAAAAAAGATCTTTTTGAAGAAAAGATCAGAAAGTCTCCTTTAACAATTTGCTTTGCAGAATATGCAGGTGAGATTTTATCTTAATATGCGAATAATTGTATAATATTGATAAACAAATAAAACACTCGATTTCTGTACAATTCGTTAGTATAACTGCTTAAAAATAATTTGATTATCCTTTAATAACGTCAATGCATAGATCTTTCTAATTAAAATATTAAATCAAGTTTAGTAAAATTGTATTATAACTAATAATATGAAATATGTAATCGTACTAAAACAAATAGATTCACAGACTCTAAAAGAAATTGTAAATAGATTTCCCTCTTAGAAATCTCTTTCCGTAAATAGAAATCCTCTTCCGATAAGAGGATGCGGACGTTTGATCAGCTGATCCCATTAGCTCACATAAGAGCATACGATTAGCCCTGAGACCTCGCGAAAAAACACCTCTCAGGACCCGCCCAAATCGATGCGCACGATCCTTACACTCCCGCACATACACTATCACACACAGCAACACGGACCAACACTCCCTCAGGAAGCTAGACGACGAAAAAGGTCGCAGCTAAGATCAGCTGATCCTGCTAGCTAACGCATAAGGGGAACACCGCACATATACACTAATACCACTGGCCGATCATTTAGCACACCCGAAGGACTGTCGGAAATACACAGACGCACGCACGATTGACCAACGTGCCCAGGGAAACAACAAAATCAGTGGCAATGAGACGCAATGTTAACGTATGAGCCGAGCGGTGGCCATGTTGCGACGCGCTTGAGCTAGACCGAGAGAGGGGCAACCGAGTGTATGAGTGCGAGTGACACGACCGATAGGAGAGCGATCGGACGCGAACGAGGGGATAGCGTAGATTCGCGGTCGCGTCGTGGTGCGCCGCGTAAAATTGCGATGCAATGTAGCATCGGGTGGACCGGGGTAAACCTGAAGCTATTCATATCAGTGAACACCAGATTGATCAATTTAGGAACGCGGTTACTATGCGTCATCATAGCGTTCCACTCTGAGATATACGAGATAGTAGACCTTGGGCCAAAATCCGATTATGCTTCGTAAATAAATAGAGTAACTATCTTAGATTTATCTTATTGTTGACTCAACCTTGATCAACTTTCTGTAGCTATCGCGATCGGGCCGCGTGAAGCCGGCAAGTGCGCGTCGACGCTTCGACGCCATTTTGTGCGCGCGACCGGTTCATCTACGATCTTACTGCCCTGGATCGCTGCTGAGTCGACTTGAGCCACCGCTCCAAGGATCCGCTGCTGAAAGGAGTTTCTGTGCCCGACATTTTGACTAGCCGCCGCCCGCATTTTCTTCGGCACGCTAGATAGGATTTCGCGCTCTCGTTCTCACACTTCTAGATGGCCAGCGAGGCCAGCGTGCGGACAAGACAGCAATCTATCCGACTTTCAGCGACCAGAGCCAGCCGACCTGCAGCGCTACCGACCCTTCTAATGCGAGGACGGTAGCTGGCGCCTAAGACAACATTCTAGCTGCGAATTCGGCTGACTGCGCCGATAGTGGCCGTGGAGGCCGAAGAAATAAAATACATTGTTTTTCCCCTGCTCTGCCCTTCACAATGCATTTGCAGTAATCATATGAAACTTTAATTTAATATGTAATTTCCAGGCATAGATGAATATGTTCTTACGATAACATTGGCAATTTCGGCCGAAATATTTAAAAATTAGTCACTCTTAGTCACTGCCGTGAGAATAACATTTCTCGTTTATAGCGTGACGAAGAGTAAATAAATTTCAGTAGTAGATATGTTTTCATCATTGCACTTGAGAACCTAATCAGTAAAGATACAGTTCGCAATCTCAATATGTCGAGTAAGATTTTAATAAGTCTTATATGATATTTGACTGGAAAAAGCTAGACAGCACCGTGACAAAAATTTAAAAGAACCACTACTCTTAATGCGTTACGTTAAGAGGGGAGATTATTGACTTATACTACTTTTTCCTTATAACAGTAAACATCTTATAAAGTATGTAACTAAGTAATTATTGAAAATAGAAAATTGCAACGCTAACTATTGAATAAGTAAATCGCATTGTTTGTTAAAAAAGCTCATAGTTATACATTTTTCCTAGTAGCAGCTTCCGCATAGATATGACTTCATACTCCTTATAAGGCACTGAATTTTACCAGTTGTTTTAACATAAGTAAACCTACGTGTGAGATAACGTCTTAATGTAGACAGCGCTTTCCTTCCTTTTCGAGTGTATCATGGGATACCACTGCGCAGCAAAGAAAAAATCTGACTGAACCATTAAAAGATAGAAATTGATATTTTTTGTTAAATAAACATTATTTGAAAATTTTTCTAAATCATAAGAAATGTATTTATATGTTTACTTTATTTATTACTATAACTAACCAAATTGAATAGAAAACTTAAATTTAATTAATGCTAATTGTAAAGATTTATTACCATTATTAATATAAAATATGATAATTTGATTAATTAAACAATTTGCGTATAAAATATTCGGTTGAATACGAATATGTGTCTACGTCACAACATCCTCCACATTGCAGTATTATATTAAATATTAAATGACCGCGAATTAGAAATAAATGAACTAATTACCGGCACGCTGTACTTTCACGAACTTAGTGAGTTCAATAATTAAATGAGTAAATAAAGCTGGTTATTAGCAAGTCGTGCAGTACTCACATGAAGTGCCGGAGTCATCCAAAATAATTCCCCGTGTTAATTCAAGCATAGGCAATCAAGTAACGGCAATCAAGCTATAATCTAAATTAAAATTAAGCAGCAATTATAGGAACGGAAATCTACAGTGTTATCGCATATATGCACATAGTTATGTTAATTGAGAAATGAGAAAATTTGCAAAGCAGTACAATTAAAAAATTTTGTAAGTAAACTCATGCATCTATAGTCTACAAAAGCCGTAGGCAACCTCTTGCTTTTCCTCCATCCTCTATTCCCTTTTATCCGTGAACATTCGTAATCAAGCAGTATCAATTTCATTTGAATTCGGCATGGAATACTATCGTTCTCAATCATCTCTTCACTCTTTCGACCTGACTGTCTATTATTCCGTCTAGGCACAGTAAGTGTGATGCACTGTCCTTATTTATTCATTGAGCTATCTCTTTCTAGCTAGCCTATTGCTATCCGTAACTGGACATGGCCTACGCATTACAGGTATATGAATATTTTAATTTGGACGCAATATTTTGCATGTTACAATTATTAATAATTAGAGATTTCTATATATATTTTTCTTGCACAAAAACTAAGAATTTTGATTTTTAGTTATTAATTTAGCGAGAATTTCGTCCTGAAGATATGCAGCGTACAGTAATGAAGCGAATTTTTTTGTTAATGATTTTCGGCAGGTTTAGAACAGTTACTGTTGGCTTGAAGGCAATAAAATTTGGAGGAACAATTGCGGGAGGGGAGGTCAATAAGTCTTTACAAAACGAAGGAAAAAAGTTTTGCGTATGTAATTTCTTTTTTATTTTTCAACATAATGTCCTTGAAAGTCGATACATTTTATTAAACGGCCTTCCAGTTTTTTTTAAGCCATCAGCAAAATATGATTTCTGAACACCCTCAAAATAGGCTTTTGTTTCGGCGATGACTTCTTCATTCGACGTGAATCGTTGTCCGGCAAGCCATTTTTTGAATTTAGGTAATAAGAAAAAGTCACTGGGAGCCAAATCAGGTGAATATGGTGGATGGTCAATTAATTCGAACTTTAAATCGTTAATTTCTGTCATCGAAACTGCACACGTGTGAACTCGAGCATTGTTTTGAAGAAAGAAGCATTTTTTTTTTATCAAGTGAGGACGTTTTTCTCTGATTTTTTCTTTCAGCTAACGTAATAATGACGCATAATATTGTCCAGTGATCGTCTGGCCCTTTTCTAAGTAGTCGATGTAGATGATTCCATACGCATCCCAGAAAACCGTGGTCATAATCTTGCCAGCTGACTGTGGTTTCAGAAGTGTAGTGGAGTACCCATGTTTCATCTACAGTTACGAGTCGACGCCAAAAGTCTTCCAGATTACGACGTATGCGTGCCAAAAAAGTCTGAGAGCTGACTACGCGGATTCGTTTGTTTTCAACAGTGAGCAAACGCGGCACCCATTTTGCTGTTATTTTTTTCATTCTCAATTTTTCATGCAAAATTGAAATGATTGTACCCTTTTATACCCCTGTGGCCTCAACTAATTCTCACAATTTTAATCTTCTAAATTTCTATTTCACTCAACACCATATCGTGGATTTTGTTGACCGGCGTACTCACTTCTACGGGGCGTCCTGAACGAGGTTCATCTTTTGTTGTTGTACGGCCGCGTTTAAATTCATTTACCCAGTTATAAACAGTTTTAAACACAAGGACAGACTTGCTATGAACGGCGTTTAACTCAACTGTGATTTCTTTTGGTGTAAGGCCTTTCAAATGAAAGTGTTTTATCACCGCTCGAAACTTTCAATTTTTCAACCAATAACTTTTTGTTCAACGAACGCTCACAAAAAGCGACTTAATGAATCGAGCTGGAACTTTCTACGATATCTAGTTAGTAGTATTGCTTTCCAAAAACATTATAATTTAAGCGTGACGAGCGCCATCTCTTAGATTTTGTAAAGACTTATTGATATACTTCTTCTAACTCAGCTAATAATATTTTAAATTGTTTTATAAGCCATTTAGCAGGCATCTCTTGTTCAATTTTTTGTTTTCTATGAGACTTATACTCTGACTTACTTTCATCATATCTACATTTTATGTATAATCCAACGCTATAAGCTTCATGTTCTAGAAAAGCACAACTATTGTCGACTGGTTTTAACAAACATTCTAAGTCAGCATATATAACATATGGAACCACTTCTTTATTTTTCGAATGTTTGAATTTCATCATTGTATCATCAAGTAGATTTATTCTACAGTTATTAATTTTTAAACATTCAATATCGTGAGCTATCAATTGATCCTCAGTGGTAAAAAAGTGGAGGCAGCGTTCACAAAGATAGATTTTTTTAGTATGTGAAGTTATTT